AAGACTTCATTGTGACCCGCAGGGCTTCCGACCGAACCATTTATCATGCTGGTGGCCTCCTAGGGGGCTTTCACCTGTGGAATCTCATAGGACGTAATTATCGAGCTAAGCGCTGGAACCAGCTAGAGGAAAAGACTACCAGCTCTCCTGAGAAGGCCATTGGTGTAATAGAAGAAAACGCGATGGCATTCGCTTGCATTCCGTGTCGTAAGACCCGTTCTGGCTTCATCACTACGCGCTCAATAAAATACACGTAAAAAACACTAAGTAAGTCATCCCCCTTCATAAAAAACACGCGGAAGTCCACCGTTTGAAGGTCTACACTAGGACTTCAGCCTTTTCACACTAGATTTTAATCTGCACCCGTCTGGGCAGTCCAAGATGACGAGTTGCCATGTGAAGGTTGACTAAATTTTATTTACCGAAGATTGATTGAAACGCCGGATGACATCAAGTGTTGATGTGCCGGTTCTAGTATCAGTGACGTGACTTGTAAATTTTGGTTAACACTTCTCTGTAGCCTCAATATACACCGCACAACAGTGTGCATCAATTACGAAGCCGTTTGTCAGTTGTAGTTAGATCTGCAATTATCCGAGTTCCTATAATAATATGAACCAATATGAGATAGTGCGTACTGGGCAGTACCTTCTGGCCACTTCCAGTGAATATATTGATACCTGTCGAAAGATCAAGTCGTAAACTGGGTGCAACTATCTCGAGACCCATAACAGTGGTCAAATATCAACTCTGTCTGCTCATTATCCCAAAGCATTTCTTACTTCAGTAATATTGTGCTTCAACTCCATCGCTGATAACAACAACGATGTTTATAGGAAGCAATAATACACGTTTAGATATCGAGTGTATCCAGCTCAAATATGAGATTCGTGGGTAATATGTTTACGTGGGGTCGAGCTAACAAAATATCTAACACGACTGCTAGCACAAGCTCTAGGTGGTGTTCATTGCCATGCTGAGAGAACTCCTATTGAAGGAAGCGCACTCCTAAGAGGCTAGAGGCGGAGGTCTTCTGGATATATCATATAAAATATTTGATATTCGGTGAGATTTGAAATGATATATGAAATATCTGATTGATATCGGGTTTGTCTACCCAATATATATTAATATCGAATATTATCAATATTATATTCGAAAAAATATCACTAATACCAAGTTAACATTAGCCCCTGGATACACCGTTCACCCTAAATAGTCGTGTGACCTAAATAGTCGTGCACCTTTGATAATCATTCCACCGGTTTTGAAAAATATTTTTAGTTTCACCTTCAATTGAGAAAAGAGACCGGAATCGGGTAGATCTCGGCAATACGAATTGCGTGGTATGTTTTGTTCTTCGTAAATACGAATGGTCTTCGAAATAACTAAATTTCAAAACAGGGCGAGGCGCCCTTCAGGTCGTACACGATAAACAGTCATGGCACGACTGATTAGGGTGAACGGTGTACCGTCATCCAACTTGAACACCCGATTACGCGATACCCTCCCCAATGCGGATCTATCATTTTGGACAGGGCTGCCATCCCCTAACTTCATTTGTCTCGTTTGAAATGAAGGCCCCTACTCACGACTTCCAAAGCTCAGCATCATGTTGTTTTAAGTTTAACATTTTATTCATACCACCAGCGGGGCAATAGCCATGAATATGAGCTTCATCTTTGAAGCCCAAGCGATACACTGCAACTTCGCATAACTATGTATGTTCTATGTATCTCTATACACGAATCCTGTCCGTGTGTCACGCAGTCACGCTTTACGCCCCTAAACATAAACCTGTCATTTCGACTACGCTACCGCGGTCTTCTGCACCCATTATTTACTCATCAAATCGACTCGCACTGGCTTTTAAACTATTTACTAAATTACAAAACTAGACATGGAAACGCTAAAAATCGTACTTACACGGAGCCGATCGGACTTTACCGGGTGTGATTATCACATGATGTGATTCACATCCCCCATTTGAAAGTTGGCGCGCGGCGGACAGACGGACCGAGGCAGCGAGCGGGAGGGCGCCTGGCGTACGGGAGTGAGCAGCGGAGTGTAGCGGCAGCGGACACCACTACAGGGAGTACATGCATACATCTACATAAATAAACTACTTTACGGTTTCGGGAGTTCCGCCTGTTGGGATAACTGGTACCTTCAGGGCAGTCGAGGATTTATAGCACGGAATTAGGTGTAGATGGTGCTTAGTAGGCGTTCTTAGGGACACCTAATTAAGAGTCGTGGGATGTTGCAGTAGACCGCCATACCTACGAGACGACCCACTCCGCGTCGAGACACCCACGGACGGCGCAACCGCCGGACAGTCGCTCAACATTGCTACTTTGTATGAGTGTCCGACGTAATTATTTGGCATGATTATATTGTAGTACTGTGGCTTTCTGCTTTAAACCCGTTACCATCCTTAATGAGGAGTGTTTTAAACGCCTTTTTAGGATAAGAAAAATTGCAGCTGGCACCCGCCGCCGTATTAAGACTTAGCTCTGCCGCACCTTTTGCTCTTCGGAGCCGCGACGCTGAGGCGCCCATGTTTGCCTGCCAGCGGCAGGCGAAGTCTCATACCCAACCGAGTTTTGGCAGATCCATTTGGCGATAAAAGCCGGCTTTGCCGGCCCGCCTGTTTTAAACTCGGAGTAGTGGTCGTGTTACACGTTGGATTGGGGGAAACCTCGGTTCCGTGCTTCTGTGCCCACGACAGAGCGCATGCAGCCAGCCATGTAGCTTGGGTGGGGACCCGAGCCGAGCCACTGGGGACAGTGACTTGAGGGCTTATGGCTTACCTTTTGTTTAGCGGCAAACTGAGACCGTCAGTTCCTTTCGGGGGGTGACGGAATTTTTTTTGCTTCGGCAACTGGAACCGCTTACCGCATTTCCGACCCACTCACACCCAAACATACAATCCAATAACACACAAGACAAAGCGAGCGGTATTTGCATTGCTACATAAGCGGCTTCTAGCCAATTGCGACCTGTGTCGTAGTAGAAGAAAGCTTGATGTGTGCTACCTTGCCTACGCTTTTTCGGGTTATGTACCAATTTGCGGTCTAAACGATCCTTCGATGCCTATGATGCCAGTGGATATCCCAGTAAAAAAACAATACCCAACACTGACCCATTATCCCTTACACTTCGCCGAAACGATCGAGTCTCGTAATGTAGCTCAGGAGATTTTGAGAGCCAAATTGGAGCCTTCAGCAACGATTTTAACGATGTTGGATGTTGGCCTGTAGCCGACCAACTTGTTTTATGCCACAGGCGCCATGATGCTCTCCACCAGACGGACAACGTAGTTGGATGTAGGAGACATTTAAATCTCTTTGGCGATATATCCAAGAAACTCAGTTTATCGTTTACAGGAACACTTGGCGTCAACTTCATAACTGCTTCGTGAACGAGAGCTGGTCAGAGATCGTCTTTATCTTGTTGTAGCTGTCGGACAAACTGTTGAAGTAAGTTAATGCGTTGGACTTTCAGCTGGACTTGAAGGTTTGGTATCCGGATGCGATACAGAAGCGCTGATGGGGCAAGTTGGACGAAGTTGGAGTCAGAATCGTTTTTCTTGGATAAGATGAACTTGTTTAGCATCCTTTGCCAACGTTGAATGCAGTCGAGCGGAATATTGGTGTGGGGTGTGAAGTGCAACAGTGTTGATAGGATCAGTGTGTGAGTCAGGAGCAGTCTTCCTCTCAGCGTTCTAGCTCTTCGCCCCCAAATGCCAAATCCTCGATAAAATTTGTTGTTGAGCTCGGCTAGTATATGGTCGTTCGAAACTTAATGTAGCTTGAACGTGGTATTTTACTTCCGTCCGAGAGGAAGTCGTGTATTACACTACTGTACAAGAAAGGAGATCGCAGTGACGTAGGGAACTATCGACCTATAGCATTGATGGCAGTGGACGTTAAAATCCTGTCTAAAACGCTAACCTACCGGCTGAAAGACGTGATGCCTTCGATTATCCGAAATGATTCGTTAACGGACTCTTGGCACGCTCACCAGGAGATAACAGCTTCTTCCGGATATGCGCCGGACAATCCACGATGATCCTATCGAGGGTCCACCTGGTCCACTGGATGCGAGCTGGCTCTTCACGATCCAGGATCTCGAGCTGCTCGGCCATCGTGTACGACTTCCCATCCGGTTTCTTCTCGGACTTGTCGAACAGGATCCAAGGACAGACCTTCGCCGGATACACCCAGATGACTGGCTCGTACAGGATCGTTTTTGGGGTCCATGCGTTCAGAAGTTCGGCGGCCAGCTCGGCGTACTTCTTGATGGCGGGATCGTGTAGTCCCTTGCGTTTATTCTTCTCTTTCACCCCGTACGAGATGTCCTCCGGATACGTCACCCAGTGTCCCACGTACCAGATGACCAGCGAGTTGTCCTTCATGAACTTCACGATCTTGGACAACACGACGTGGACCTTCACGCCCAAGTCGTAACGCTTGTGGAAGACGAGGTTGATGACACGGCGCTTGTACATCCGCTCACCCGGTCAAGTCACCATAATCGCCCGGTACTCGTCCACATTGAAGCGATCCTTGAGTGGCCCCATCCCGCCGTTGTGGTTCGGTGCGTAGTCAGGGAAACCTGCGGATTGATAGACGGCGTAAATCGTACTGGGTGCGAAAGTGGCCAGGATGTCCTTGTGTCGCCATGAAGTGATCCCTCGATCCGGTTCCTTGATCACGGCCAACTCTTCAGGAGTCAAATCTTTCATGTCCTTATGGGCAAGCGGAGACTTCTTGCGTTCGTCACCAGGTCGAGACTTCTTTCGTTTTTTGGCGGACCCACTGGTGACCGAGTCAGATTGAGACGATGCCGAATTTGTCGTGCGCTTGGGACGACGAGTCGACGGCAGAGCGACATCTGGTGCAGTGCTGTCGATCACGAGACTCCGTTACCAAGCTCGCCCGTTCCGAACGCCGCTCCGGATGCGCCGCCCAGGGTGGCCACCTCGGAGGACCCCCAAAATGGTCATCGACCTGACTGGTCCTGACGAAGATTCCGGAGAGCAGGCGTCCGCCGCCCGGATGAAGGAGTTCGTGGCCGACCAGGTCCGCCGTTGGGAAAGGGTGACGCTCGAGTTCGTGATGTCCCCGACTGTTGAGTACACATGGCCCAGCCCGACACCCGACTTTCAAGCGTGGTGGACGGCAGCCATGGCGACGTCCCGATACGTTGCGGCTCGTTCGACGATGGGCTCGTTCGATGATGATGCACCCGAGCGACAACTGGACTTCGGATTGGAGCTTGGTCCGACTGTCTCCGTGCACTGCCGCGGACGCCACTGCGGCCATGATTCCCATGATCACGCTGTCACTGCGCGAGTGCGCCGCACTGCTGCAGACGCTATTCTTCGAGGCGGGATAAGGTTTCGCAACCTGATTCCCCAGTGGTTTCAAGCACGGGCTCCCCGGGTGGAGCCGATCATGGTGCGGATGCTCATGCAGGAGCTTCAGCAACAACTGGCTGACGAACATTCGGAATGGCGAAGCGTCGCTGCGGGCGTCCCAAATCGAGTCATACCAGCGCTGGACGTTCATGCACTGGGGGATGCTGCCCTGGAAGCGGTCAAGGAGGAACACCCGGACGACGACGTGCCAATGTCGACCCGGGAAATGGACGTGCTCGGTCGAGAATGTCTTTTCCGGATGAGGGTGGCTGGAGTCCGGCCGACCCGAAGTCCGGCGAGTTCAGCTGTGGGCCGCCCAGAATCTAAGCGTCCGCAATATGGCCCGCCACGTCCGTCGTCAATCCCGTCCATGAGCTCCCACTTGTCCTACCGGTCTTCCATCCCGGCGAGTCAAGATGCGGACGCTCTGAGCGTGCGGATGTCTGTCACCCAGAGTGCAGTTTCCCGACGAAGTTCAGGACGAGAGTCAAGTCTGTTTGGGACGACGGCCGCGGATTCGGAGGAGTCGAACCCCAGCGCCACGTCCGGGTTGCGCTCGCGGAGCCATATTCGTCGTCGGGATCCTCGCTGTGGTCGCTTGGCGGAGCCATCGGCGCTCACATGCCGTATGCCGCTCCATCCGGAATGGTCATGACCGCCCGAAGTGGCTCAACCCCCATTCAGGGAGGCTGGGGCGTGCAAGTCACGGAGACGGTGCTCCCTACACCACCAGTGCCGGTGAAATGGGACGATGTCGATATGTCGGAGTCGGGTCACACCAGCATTCGGAGTGGTCACAGGTCGAGGACGTCCCGGAGGCACACGCGCTCCCGAAGGTCAAGCCCAAGCAGCTCTTCCAGCGAATCCAGCTCGGAGGACGAAAGGCGCCGTGGCCGCCGAGGATCCAAGCACCCTCGCCGTTCCAAGCGGTCGCCCAGTCGATCCGTGAAGTCCGGATGGTCAGTTCACTCCTCTGCGTCGAGAACCTCCGAGATAGCGCTGACCATGATACGAGTCACGCAGGATGCCATGGTTCGGGTGGATGCGAGTGTTCAGGAGATGAAGCAACAGCTACAGGATAAGGACAACGCCTCGGACCGGAAGCCCGAAGCCGCTGACGAGGGGAAGCGAACCTTCCAGACCTACCAGGCCACTCAGCTGCTGGTCGACCGGGAGGATGCCCTGGAAAACCAATGTGCCCTCGACACACAGGCCCCAGTTCAGGTGATCATACGTGAGGCGACGACGGAGAAGGCCCGCGAAGTCGTGGGAGCTAACCAGGAAGATGCCTTGAAGCGTGCGCGAGAAGCCGTGAAGGCGGAGCGCGCGCAGGAAGAGCATCTCCGGTCCGAAGCTGAAGCCGCGAAGCTGCAAGTTCAGGAGGCCAGGATGCAGAAGACCCTGGAAGAGTAGCGGAGATTACTGGAAGAACAGCAGAAGCTCTTCGACCGAAGGATCGCTTTGCTAGAAGCAGCCCAGTCGAGGGACAAGGCGGCTGGCCCTGACCAGGGGAATGTTTGGAGAACGCGTTTGCGCAACACTCGGACGACATCATCCCATGTTCAAGGAGCTCAAGCGACACCCGCACCAGATCCGACTGTTCAGGTCAAGCAAGAGACGGGGCGCCTGACTATGCACCCAGAATCCAGTGGCGTCATCACTGGACACGCAAGTGATAGACGGGCCAAACCAGATGGCGACCTTCCAGCCGCCCACCTTTAAGCAACGCTGGCGCCGATGACTGGTGTTAGGTATGAGAAGGAAGAGTCGACGCCCAGGGTTGTTCCATCGAAAGCAACCCAAGCGACGACCGAGAAAGCGGGATCCAAGCCGGCTGCCTCCTCTCGTTCGGAGACCAAGAAAACGGCCACCCGGAATGACTCACTCAAGAAGCAATCGAATAAACGTGGAGACCCCTCGGACGACAGCTCAAGCTCGGACTCGAGCGAGGAGGACTCAAGCGATGAAGACTCCGACAGCTCGTCCGGCGAGGTGACCACCAACGTGGCGACGGCGATGACCCAAGGCGGGACGACGATCATGTCGTTCAGGCCGTATGTGAGCTCCAGCGCTCTGGAAGACTTCAACGAGGACGATCCGTTAGCCGTCCGGCGCCTATGGTGGGAGAAGTTCCAGAAACTCGCGACGCAAGGCGGATGGTCCGACAGGATGCGAGTCTGCGAGCCTCTTTCTGTGAGCAGCATCGTGAAGAACCAGCACAAAGGCTGGTGCGTGGCCTGGACGGCGGCGATCTTGGCCATGCTCGGTATCTTCTTCATGACCGAGCGCATGTCTCCGTCGGGTCGCCAACGTCGGCTGTGAGGTGGAGGTAATGGGCGACCAGATCGTGGATGGGCTGGCAGTCAACAAAGGACTCATGGCCGCTCAAGCCATCCATCGTCAAGCGCATCGTCATCACTACGATGCTGCAAGTGCTGCAGCCGACCACGGGCACTCTTCAGCTTCGACGCTTTGATCTTCATGGCCATCAACCATCGCCGCCTGCAACGTTGCGGTCACAATGTGCCACAAGTCAGACTCCCCATTAAGTCATACTCGTGAAGGCACCGTCACTTACCGTGGCGATGGTCCTAGCGCTCGTCCAATGAGACACTGGCCTCTGAGGCTCAGACAAAGTCAGCACTGAGTTCTAGAATATTCTGGTGGGTAGTTTGGGAGCCTTTTGGATGTTGAATGGAATTTTGCACGTTTTCCAAAAGAATTTTGAACAGTGTAGAACTCGTCGAAAACCATCCCTATCCGCGGCAGACAAGCAAATGCAACGACTACACCTTAGCGCCGGTGACTTCGTGTTTCCGACTCTGATCGAGATACAGGATGCACATCGGAAGTACGCTGGACTTGCACCACCGACCGCGCAACTAGACTGTGATGACACGCTTATGGTGGCAGAACGTGTTTGGGTTCCTGAGGTGGAGGTGGCGCTACTACAGCGCATCTTGATCGTCGCGCATTGTGGCAGTCAGGGCCACCGTGGAATTGAGCCTATGATGACGACTGTGACTGAGCTCTTTGAGATCGTGAACCTGGCTCAAGAGTGTCGCCGCGTTTTGAGTAGGTGTTTGCTCTGCAAGCACGTGAAAGGTGGGAACATTATTCCACGTCTGTGGGGTCCTACGTACGATGCCAAGGAATGCAATGAGCTCCGACACGTTGACACTTGCACATGGGCGACAACATGGGTGCGTGCAAGTGAGGCGAGGCGGGTGAACGCCTTTATCGTCCAGGGTGTATAGTGTACGTCCGGTAGGCTTGGACCCGGGAGGGTTTAGCTTACGGAAACCCGAAACTTACAATGAATATAAGCTCCGGTTGACGTGTGACCTTGTGCAATCCCTATAGGTGTTGTTTATCTTCGGCGGACCGAGTTTCAACCTTGAGAATCGCAGTTGATCAAAGATACAGGAATACAGAGAACTTCCGGGCGCTACTCGTTCCGGGAGTCCTGAATGGGAGTGAGATCACGAGCAAAGACCTTCTCTAAAATAACCAATATCAATACAGAGTCTGTACACACAATATGCAGCCTGTCAATTTAGGTTGCACCCCGAATACAGGTAAATTCGTGATGCCCCACGCGCACCACTCCTGAATGTCAGGAGAACAATACAGGTACCTTCCTACCACACGCAATCTACAATCGGGTCCTAGGGGGTGTAATGGGACCCAGTCACATAAGTAGGTAGATTGACAGTACATAAAGTAGTTAAGTCAGTACACGGCTAGCGTGTACTGACGGCCATCGTGATTAGCTGAATTGGGGGAGCCAGACCCCATTTCAGCCAATCAGGCGTTGACCTGCATTTGAGTGGCTCACATGAGACCAGGGGTAGCCGCCCTGGTCCTAACATAACACAGAGTTGATTTTACCCAAGACTGACTGCTTGGTCTCACTAAATCCGAGTCTTAACTAAGCTTCCTCACCGCTACGTGTAAGCTAGTAACGGACACACACCTGGCCCGTTACACATGGTAGCACTTCGTAGTCCTTCCAACGACCAAGACCAAGATGAGCCAAGTCCTGACGTCCGGACCTTCAGGGGCAACCCTGGAGCACGGTGCCTTCCCTCATCTCACGCTCATTGAGTGGGAAGCTCTCCATCGCCTCGCGGCGATGGCCGGAGAGGCTGTTGTCACTTCGCTGCTGAGCTCAGCGATGCCGGAACAACAGCGCCAAGCTGCCCAAGAATTCATGGAACGCGAGCTCGCCGACACGAATCGGCGGGTCACAACTCCCTCGCGCTCCTCCAGGAACGATGTCGTCAAACTGGAGACGTCCACCTACTCTGGCGTGGACGACGATCGGCTTCCACTGAACCGCTGGTTCCGCGAGATCGACATCGCTATTGCCTCGCGCATGATCGAAGCGTCGGCGGCCAAGGTCAATTTCCTACTCTCCCGGTTGTCCGGGAAGGCCAAGGAGTGGGCCCTCGGCAAGCTCGTCGTCGACCAGAACGCGTTCCCTACGCTGGAGTCACTCCAGAGTGATCTCCGGCTCGCGTTCGATCCGCCCCAAGACGAGTCGCGCGTTCGCGCGGAGTTGTTCGCTCTCAAGCAAGGCAAGATGTCCATGCGCGACTACGTCCAGAAGACACGACACCTTGCGTCGTGCATTGTCACCCACCCCATTGACATGGCATCTCAGGTGCATGTCTTTGTGTTTGGGATGCGCGAAGGCATGACACGGTACTGCCTCACGAGAGCCGAACCCTCTTCGCTTGAGAAGGCATTCGCCCTCGCGCTCCGCGAGGACTACGTGGTGGCGGCGTCGTACGCGCGCGCTATGCCGGGCGTCTCTCGGGTATCCGCACTCGAGCCCATGGAGATCGACGCACGGGTGATCGACGGCGCTCGGCTTATGGTGGGGGAAGAGGTCGGAGCGCTCGTCCTCTGACTTGCTTCTGCTGCCGGAAGATTGGACATCGCGCAGCAGAGTGCCGCACGCCAGCCCCAGTTCACGCGCATGTCGATGCCGACGCTAGCCCGGCCGCCCAACCAAAAAACGGCCGGGGCCAGTAGGGGCGGGGCGCCCTACTGGTTGGAACGAAGGTCCGGGTCCTCCGGTGGCAACCCGGCCTTCTAGCCCTCCCGTGCTATATGCACGTTTTAATGCCACCACTGCGAGTGGCGACTCGAGGCTGATCATCGTCAGCCTCCATGTCGCCGGCGCCCGACGTCCACTGCGCGCGCTCCTTGACTCAGGAGCGACAAACAACTTCTTCCGCGCGTCGTGTCTGTCGGTGCTTCCTGCGAGCGTTCGCGTCCGGAAGGGTCCGGGCGATGTGGAAGTCAAGCTTGCGGATGGCAAGGCCCACCGCGTCGCGCAACGCGAGGTGTCCCTGCCGTACACGTTCGACGGCTTCCGCAGCAACGACGACTTCGTGGTGATCGAGATCAATTACGCGTTCGACTGCTTTCTGGGGATCCCGTGGCTTGCACGGTATCAGCCAGAGATTGACTGGCTGGCTCGGTCCGTCAAGCGTCGACGTGGCTTCGACGTACGTGAAGGGTTCACGCATCTCTTGGTGGCTCCAAGAGACTGGCCTCACGTTACCGTCGTGGACAAAACAGCCACGACGCAAGTTGTGCACAGAGCGAGCGATGACCCTCTCTGCATTGCTGTTGGATGATGATGATGTCCGGATGACATCGCGTGGGCGCGGTGACGGACGCGTGGTCGAGCGACGTGCGCTCCCACACAGTGAGAACAAGTCGGCGGTCGAGCAAGGGTTCTCGTCGAGCTACAAGTCGGCGGTCGAGCATGGGTTCTCGTCGAGCAACGAGTCGACGGTCGAGCAGGAGTTCCCGTCGAGTACGATGTCGACGGTCGAGCGTGGGTTCCCGTCGCACAATGAGACGGCGGTCGAGCGTGGATTCCCGTCACAAGTTGAGCAGGCGGTCGAGCATGAGTCGCTCCCGCACAACGGTGTTGCGGCGGAGAGCGTGGTGCAGCCGCGTACCGCCGGTGTGATCGAGCGTGGCCTCTCACACCTAGAGGAGGGTGAATCATCGTCGAGCGAGAGCGATGCGTCTTCTTCGAGCACCCGCTCGAAGCGAAAGAAGAAGTCCAAGCGACACCGCCTGAAGCCCCGTCGAGAACCGTCAGCGATTGAGAACCCACCGAAGGAGTCGGTGTGCGCTCCGAGTACGTGGAGGGCGCTCCACGACGAACGCGCGTCATCGAAGTCGCGAGTCCGCCTCGCGATGCCAACACAATCACGCGTCTCCCAGGACTCTCCTGGAAGAACTTCCTTCGAGACCTGAAGGCAGGCGAGATCGAGCAAGCGTGTCTAATCACCGAGGCGGTCCCGGTGGATACGCTGAACGCGGTCAAGGTGGAGGATGCGCCGTCGAGGCCCAGGCTGAGCTCCCGGCGGACCGAGGCGTGCGCC